TAAGTTTTCCTTTCCTTCTAAGAGCCCTATTATATCAGATTACCTTTCTTTCTCTTTTTTTTCTTTCTTGTCTCAGCCATTAATTCTTCAATTTTCAGATTCTTCTAAGAAATCTCTTTACTTTTTCTTTTCCAAATCTGACAATAGCACTTTTCTGAGTGATTATTTCACTCAAATAATCCTGAAACTTCAATGTTTCTTAGCTTCTATTTCTCTATAGACACCAACAGTAATTTTTTTTTTATATCAATTCTGTCATGGTATCATTACTAAGGTTAAAAACTAAGCCCCTACTCCTTACCCAGCAGGCAACCTGGAAGTCTTGAATGAATAAGGTAAATGGATGGGACTTCCATGGGAACTCCACCATCACTTTCATAAACCTGTTTATGAGTCAGGACACGAGCAGATGTCCTAGCCAAACACTAATGCCTGGAGTAAAAGAGCCGTGGGACCCTCTCTCAGTCCAGACGATCTCTCCCACCTCCTTTGCTGCTCCTCTCAGCAGTATATTTCAGTACATTCCCCTTTTCTTTTATCCACTCTGTCTCTGCTGAATTCTTTCCCCCCTGCATCTCTGGTCTACACCCTGATTCTTCCCCACAATAAATTCCTCTTAATCAGAGTTTTAAAAGAGTGGTGGTTATGAAGTAGAGAAAATTTTGGATATATTGAATTTATGAGCCAGAACCCATATATTTTTCAAGTTCTTCTGATTTTTCTAAAAATTATATCTAACCCTCCTCTTATTTGAAAAAAGACCCCTTCATAATCTCTAGTCCTTACGGATAAATTTTATCAATCCATTATAAACCAAAAATCGATCAAAGACCTAACCTTCAAAGCTAAATCTATAAAACTCTTAGAATAAAACATTGGAGAAGAACATGGTATCAAATTTAGATAGAAAACTAAAAGCACTAGACAGCAAAAGAAAAAAAAATGATAAATTGGACTGCAAAAGAACTTTTGTGTATCAAAGGCTACTATCAAGAAAACAGACTACCTAGTAAATGGAAAAATATATTTTTATGTAAACATGTCAGAAATCACATGCCTGATAAGAGATTCATGTCCAGAATATACTTTTTAAAATTCAATATATTTTTTTAAAACTCCTACAAGCCAATAATGAAAAGATAACACAAAAATCTGGCAAAGGACATGAACGGACATTTCTCCAAAGACGATTCAAATGATCATTAAATACGTGAAAAGTCATTAGGAAAATGCTAGTCATAACCATTACTAGAATGACTCTAACATTAAAAAAAAGGCAATTGTTGGTGAGCATGTAGAGAAATTGGACCCTCCTACATTATTAGTGCGGGTTCAAAATGGTACCACAGATGTGGCATCGGGTGATTTTTTTTAAAGACTAAACTTAAGAGTTAGCACACGACCCAGAAATTCCACTCCTAAGTATATATCTAAAGAATTGAAGGGGCCTCCCCGGTGGCGCAGCGGTTGAGCGCTGGGTTGCGAAGCTGCCTGCAGCCTCTGCAGCCGGTTCGATCCCCGGCTGCTCCCCGGCCACCGGAGGAGGGTCCCATATGGCGCGCAGACCTCTCCTGCCGCCCGCTGCTCCCCTCAGCAGTGTACTTCGGTCCTTCTGCCTGCTCTGCTCCCCGCTCTGGCTCTGGTGAATTCTCTCACCCTCCCACGCTTCTGACTGTACCCAGTGCATGTATAAACCAAACAAACAAATAATAAATAAATAAATAAATAAGACATGCCTCTAGAAAAATTAAAAAAAAAAAAAAAAGAATTGAAAACATGAACTCCAACAGAAGATATGAGTATTACACACACAACATTCAAAAGGTGGAAACAAAACAAATCTTCATTCATGGATGAATGGATAAACAAAATGTCGACTATTGATTAAATGGAATATTCACCCGTAAAAAAGAATACTATTTGATTTCATGCTGCAACATACATGAACTTTGAAAACAATTCACTACATGACGTAAACCAGCCACATAAAGACAAAATAGTGTCCTTCTACTTAGATGAGACACCCAGAACAGGCAGATTCATACAAAGGGAAGGTAGAACAGAGGTCACCAGGAGCTGGGGGAAGGATAAAGAGTTTTATTTAATGAAAAGAGCCCAGAGTCTCTTGCGAAATATTCAAACCTAATTACAAAATGTTCGAGGCAAAACAGGAGAGGCGGGAAGGGAGAGCTCGGGGACCCTGACGATCCATTGCTTGGAGCTCGGCTTAGCCGGCTGGGGGCGCGGCGGGGCGAGCGCATAGGCGCTCGGCTGGGTGGGCGTGAGTCGCGGGAAGGTGAGAAGTGGGAGGCGCGACGACGCCCTGCGGGCCGGTGGGGACCAGGGCTGTGGCCTCCCAAGGGAAGGTGGGGACGCGACCCCCCGGACCCCTTATCGAAGTCGGAGCCGTGGTCGACGTTTCGAGCCCGGTCCAGGGGGGCAGCGACGGGCCGGGGGCGGCATGGGGCGGCGCTCCTCGCGGCCTTTCCTGTCAGAAGTGGGGCGAGGCCTGCGGCCCGCCGGGAGCCGGCGTGTGGGGTCGGCGGCGCCCCACTGAGCCAACGGAACTGTGTTTTGTTTGGGGCGCTCCAGGATCCCCTAGTGTGTTTTCGGTGGGGTTTGGCCTCCCTGAGGGGGCGCTGCTGGGGCCCGCGCATGTGCTGCAGCCACCTGGTTCCACAGTGGGGAGTAAGATTCCAGGATCGAGTCTTGGGCCATTCCTGGCGCTGAAGGCTTCGGCCTTGCGGCTGCGACTCAGTGGGCGCTGTTAGACGTGGGTTGTTTACTAGGAGGCCCGCCTGGATTTTTTTTTTTTTTTTTTTAAAGCCAGAGCTGTGGGGGTGGTGAGAGGACTCACCAGAGACAGAGTGGGGAGCAGAACAGGCGGACTGAGGAAATACACTGCTGAGGGGAGCAGCGGGCGAGATAGGAGAGGTCTGCCGCGCCGTGTGGGTATCTCGCCTGCCGGTTGGGATCAAACCCGCGCTGCAAAGGCTGTGGACAGCTTCAAAGTGCTGCGCTCAACTGCCTGTGCCACCAGGGAGGCCCCCCTGTAGACTTCTTTTTTTTTTTTTAAAGATTTATTTTTATTTATTTCTGCATACCAGAGCTGAGGTACAGGCCAGAGGTGTGGAGGGGTGAGAAGATTCATCAGAGACAGAGTGGGGAACAGAACAGGCAGACTGACTGAAATACACTGCTGAGGGGAGCAGCAGGCGAGTCAGGAGAGGTCTGCTTTGCCATGTGGGTAGCTCCCTGGCCGGCTGTGCTGCAGGGGCTGTTGATTGCTTCATAGTACGGTGCTTAACCCCCTTGTGCCACCAGGGAGGACCCCACCTGGATAGTTTTGCTTCGGACCCTAATTTGTTTTCTTCCTGGAACCTTCAGGCCCAGCTGGCACTCCGGGGAAGGTGTGCTCTGGAGCCCGGACTGTGGCTTGCTGACCACGCTTCCTGGCCGGGACTGGGAGACTCGTGGTCCTTCGTTTCCATGTTGATTTTCTTACCTTGTCACATTTCCTGCAGTCACTTGTGATAGTTGGCTATTCCAGGGACTGTTGGTTTTGGCTTCTTCACGACTACTGATTCTGACAAAATCATTTATATCAGTTTCTTCTTCACTTTGGAAATAAGGAATGTTTCTGAGAGTAAAATTTGAGAGGATCACTAGTGGATCTGAGATTTTTAACAATAAATAAGGATTATAGAAGGTAACAAAAATACTTGTCACTCAGATAAATAGATAGTGACATCTCAACAGACAGTAAATTCTGTAGCCACAGAAATAGTTTAAGTGTTTTAATAGTTAAAGCAGAAGAAAACAGTTGAAAAATAAGTTTTTGCAGTGTTATTGTTCACTAATGCTGAAACTAAGACTTGTAATAAGTAATCTAACCTGAAAACTTACTCAGAAAAATCTAAATTTAAAACTAATTCAAATCTGTCATCTGTACTCGCAAACTCACTGAAAACATAGCAAAATCCATTTTAGAGTCTGTATTTAAAAAAAAATTACAAAAGTGACAAATTCAGGGTCTTACAGAACTTTTATGATTTGATTACATGTGTCTGAACTAGAAAAAAATGCATTTATAAATTGGTTCAAAATTGTTTTTAAAAAATTTAAAGGCTTGAAGGGTAAAATTTTAAGTTTCTGAGTTAACAGAAAATTATTTTTATAATCTGATAAATGCTAATGTATTTCTACAATGAATTCTTATGGACTTGGAGTCCATTAGTGAGAAAAAAGTACCTGCTTGCTCTAGAGGGAGATAATAAACAAGTAAACATATGATATACTGCCAGTTGTCTAATTAGTGCTGTGAAGAAAAAAAATGCAGAATAAAGGGACAGAGAATTACAGATAAGGGGTGTTTTTTTTTTTTTTCAGGTGGGTGCACCAGTACTAAAATACATACACAGTATTTTTATTTTGAACTGAACAAGTTATATTCTCTCTTATGCCAGAACTAAAAATCAAATAAACAGTTCATTTGAAAGTATTTGCTATTTATATAGGAGTTTTGTGATTAGTTTATGAAATAATTTTTTGAAACAAATATTTAAAATTTATATTTATGTGGCTTTGTTTGTGGTTTCTTTTAGAATAAAGAATTCAAGTACGTGCAGGTTAACCTCAAAGTTTTTTGTTTTTTTTTTTGAACATTTTATTTATTTTTTTTAAGATTTTTTTTTTAATAGAGGCATGTTTTTCTTTATTTATTTTGTTTGCTTGTTTGTTTGTTTTGTTTATACATGCACTGGGTACAGTCAGAAGCGCGGGAGGGTGAGAGAATTCACCAGAGCCGGGAGCAGAGCAGGCAGAAGGACCGAGGTACACTGCTGAGGGGAGCAGCGGGCGGCAGGAGAGGTCTGCGCGCCATGTGGGACCCTCCTCCGGTGGCCGGGGAGCAGCCGGGGATTGAACCGGCGCCGCAGAGGCCGCGGGCAGCTTCGCAACCCAGCGCTCTACCGCTGCGCCACCGGGGAGGCCCATTAACCTCAAAGTTTTCTACTTAAATTGTGAGGTAGCAAAACCATGGAAAAGTGGCCTGATGAAATTTAATTTTGAAGACTTTTATTTTCCAAATACTAGAACAGGGACATTTTAATTGCTACTTTTTGGATAATGTAGAAACATGATTAATATTTTTTATTTATACTTTATCAGGTAATTGTTTTCAAGATTTGAAATTGCTGATTGACTCATTTCTGCCTCCTGCCCCAACATCATCGGTTCCTGTTGTTCATATGAATCAAATTATTTTAGACATTTATAAAACCATGCAGATTTGTTTCGTTTTTGTTGTTTCTTCGGGTGATTTGTTCTTTTTTATTATTTCATTTGAGAAAAATGAAGAGGGCAATGCAATTAGATGGAAATGGGGGGAAAATGCAATAACTAAAACATTGAAAGACTCCACAACATTTTGGATAAGTAAGGACAACCCCAAAGTACTACACAAATTTAGCTGTCTTAGCTAGCACACACACACTTTCCCATTTATACTTATTCCCACTTTAGGGAGGACTCGAAATTCAAGAGACCAGATCTCACTTGGTAATACAGATTTCTCCACGAGATGGCACTCATCCAGTTTCAGTTTCTATCATAAGATTTGCAGTATATTGGCAATCACAAAATAAATAGAAATGTGATTTATATTTTATTATTGTGCATCTTATTTCATGTTTTGTCATACAGAATTTCCTATTGTGTTTCTCAACTTAGGGAAAAAATAGGATGTAGTGTTGATGTACAGGGGATGAACTGCAGTGTGAATTGTGTCTGTAGAAATGGTTCCGCTCTCCTTATCAGATTTATTCTGCCCTAGATTTTTCATTATAATCTAGGTTGTCATTGCTCAATGTTTTCACTCTTTACATTAGGTAACATCTCTGAATGTAAAAATTATCTTTTTAAAAAGGAATGTAAACATTTATGATATGTTCTATAATGTGAATGAAAATATATGCATGAGGGAGTAAACAACAAAGAATAATGTATTTGAATATTGAAGTACTTTGAAGGAAGTTGCAGAAGCTGCAACTCTAAAGGTAGCCTCTGGTTATTCTGGAAAGTTAGTGATTATAATTTATATATTCAGGAATATTTTCTACATCTTTGCAAATACAATATGAACTACTTTGTCTATACAGATTTGACAACTCCAGTTTTTAACAATGCTGAAATCAAATGACTCCTTGTTTTCTTTGGATAATTTGTTTTCTGAACAACCAACTGAAGCTGAAAAGTAAGTCTGCCTTAAAGAATATTAACTGTATTTTTTAGTATTTTTTATTTTTAAGGAGCTTTAATTTTCTCTCTGGTAAATAGACAAATGAAAAAAAATGAAAGTCGGGCCTCCCATGGTGGAGCAGCGGTTGAGCCCTGGGCTGCAAGGCTGCCCGCAGCCTCTGCAGCGCCGGTTAGTTCCCTGGCCGCCGGCGAGGGTCCCACAAAAAAAAAAAAAGAGGATAGTAGAATGACATTTTAGTTATATATTTGGTAAATATGGGATTCAGATATAAGGGAGTTATGAAGTTTAACATATTAAGTCTTCCAATTTTAAAAATGGAATAGATTCTTGCCTATTTGGCTTCTATTTAAATCTCAAAGGTAAAAGTTGGCAGTATGGTCAAAGAGAAATGGTTGTCTTTTGGAAAAGAATGGGCAATGTGCCAATAGCCAGGAGTGATAGGCAAATTTAGTGTAGGCATGAAGTAAGGGTAGAAATAAAGATATGGTAAAAAAAAAAAAAAAGATATGGCAAACGGAAATAAGCATAAAGAATAGGTAATATATTAAATACTGGCTTTTAAACATTTTCATATGAATCTTTCTCAATTCTAAGTTTTTTTAATGTATTTGTTCTATTTGTATTATCCTATTTTAATGAGGCATTGAGTGAATTATATTTATTGCTTCATTCCTTCATTCATTCTGTGTTAGTTCAAAGAGATTCCTCCCCTCCTTCTGTTATCTATTATAGACATACCAACAGACACACACAAGGGGGACTGTGATATTTATTATAGGTTCAAGTGATATATATTATAGGTTCAAGTACAAATTGGAAGGGAGAAAATCTCAGGGAATCCGGGGGAATTTCATAAGATACAATTTGAATTGAATTTTGAATGAACACAAGCTAGTACCTAAAACAGTGCCTGGCACATAGTACTTAGTGAATCATTGTTTTATTAGTGGATTAATGAATGAATAAAAACAGTAGCATTTCTTTAGGTGTATATGGGGGTAGGGAGGGTTTTAGGGCTGAGTAAAGGAAATAGTTTTGAACAAAAAGAAGGGACAGATTGTATTATCTACTTGTTATACAGCAAATATTTCACTTTGGCCCATGCTGTAAGGTGAGTGTAGGATAGTTCAAACTATAAGGAGGTCTAAAGTCACTAAGAAATTTGGCCTTAATTGGAAGCCACCAAAGTATCTTTGAGCAGAGTAATATAATGAAAAACAACTCCAAATTAATGTGATAGGAGCGTGTAAAATATCTTAGAGAAATTCTGAAGGCATTGAGGCCAATAAAGAGTCTTGGTTAGCATAGTAATAGTGGAAATATAAAGGAAATTAACAAATTCACGAAACATTGTAAGGCAGATTCAATTAAGACCTGGTATATATCCAGATATAGTGGGTTAAAAAGATTATTCTAAGATTTGGATCTTGGATAAAATGGACAATGATGATAGCTGGAGGCTGGGGGTGGCGGTGCAAAATAGAGAAGCCATAAGGAAGATTTGATTTCTGGGTTGCCTAAAGAGTAGAGCTAGATGTATACTTTTTATATCTTATTAGCATATTTCTTGGATGTTCTGGAATAGTCCCTGTGCAGAAAAGAGTTAACATAATAATCCTAAATGGCTGTCCCTGAAAAGGACTGCTTGCAATGTTGGCTTTGGCTAGAGTCTGAGAACCTAGATTTTAGGAAGGTTGCTACCATTAACAGATAATAGTGCCTCACTGAATAAACTATATTGTAATTTATGCTCAACACTTATTTTCTTTCATGCATCTGCATTTTAGGTGTGTGCCAGTCAGGGAATGCCTATGTGATTTAGCCACCAATAAAAATCCTGGGCATCAAGTCTCGAATATTTCTTCATTGGCAGTGTTTTGTGTAGTCACAACTCACTGCCAGGGGAATTAAGTATGTCCACTGGGAGAGGACCTTTCGGAGCTTGTGCTTGGTTCTTCCCGGTCTTCACCCCATAGTCATGAATAGAACTATATGCTCAGTCCTGTGAGTCATCTTAAGGAATCATTGACCCAGGGGTTGATAACTGGGAATCTTCAGACAAATACTAAATTTTAAGTACTTTGACCCATTGTCAGTCTGTCAGATATCATTAGATACTCTGTTGTAGATTTTTATTTGGAAAATGTAGCCATAGTGGCTATATATTAGATGTTATGAGAGGCAGAAGTAAAAGACCAGTTCTCACTTCCATGAGCTTCAGAACTAATTCATAAAATCCTTGGGACTTGGCATCAGTGGTGCTCTTGTCAACTTTATTTCTTGTCCTGTAGCACCTATCATTTTGTTCTAATGAAGAACAAGTCAGCATTGATAGGAAAGAAAACATTAAAGCAGGATCAGAGCTAAAAAATGAGAGGTAGTTAATAATGCTAAGAGGATGGCAAAAATTTCATAATTAGTTTAGGTTTACAAAATGATTGTCAGTTTAAACTGGTTTGTTGATTTTCTGCACTTTGTAGATGGTTATGGAATAATATCTGAGTTAGGATATTAATATATAATGATGCTCTGAGTGTGCTCTAGAGTACCAGGATTGGTGTCATTTACACACTGAGAGCCCATCACTAGTTGCAAGATATGTCATAACTAGTTTTTTGTGATAGCTAAGATGCTAAATTTTGAGAATAATTTATTCCTTTTTTATTTTATACAAGAGAAAATTTAAGATTCATGTCACGAGCATTTGAATTAGAGAGAGGAGATGGAGTTATAGCCTTTATTTGGGTAGCATATATCACATGACAGCGTCATTAATCCTATGACATACAAGGAAAAAAAAGATTGAGAACACTGTTGTATAGGGATAAATAAAAGTGGTGACAGAATGTTAATTTATACATTGTTTAAGAGTCTAATTGAATAATGTTTAATTTATAAATACATAGTTTTTGATGTTGTATCTTTATTAACATATCCACATTTTTGCATATTTATATAGCTATCCAGAAAATGAAAAATCACTGGATTTGTTTCTCCAGCCTGCTCCATTGATTTCAGAAATTCCAGACACTCAGGCATTAGAAGAAGAAATAGAAAGTTGTAAACTTTTAGGTAAATTATCACATATTTGTTGTGAAGCTAAACCCTTGTAGTTCATATTCATGTAAAAAAACTAAACACAATCAAATATTAATTATTTTAATGGATTATATGAAAGTCAGGACTATTCGAAATAGTGCTCACTAAATTTACAAACATTTTTCTTTCCATACAAACACATACATACATGTGCATACATATGCATACTTATATGCACACAACACAAAGCCACCTGTTCTATTCTGTAAATTTTTTCCCCTCTTATCTTTAAAACTATCACTTTTATTTAGTTTTTTCCTTTGTCTTGGTAGAATGCCTTGGCTTTGGAAACCAGATCCTGAAATAGATTGAGCAAAAAAAACAGGATTCAGATTATAAATTGATACTATTTTTATAAAGCTAAAAAAAGTATATTCAATTAATATATATGATCTAATGTGATATTGTTGGTAAAATTTTGAGTTTTATATAGATGGCAGATTCATATATGTACATTTTATTAAGTTTCATAACATTTTACACATAATAAATATTATACTTTCATGTGTATCAAATAACATATAGCACATATGAGATAGATACATGTATCTTATTATGTCTAAATAGTAAAACAAACTAAGCCCAAATAAGGCTTCCAAACTTATTCCAAACCTCTCACAATTGCTGGTAAAGTCTTTGTAAGGAAACCTTTAAAATTCTGCCACCCTCATGTAAACATTCCTTTACTTTGATTTTAGAAGCAAGACTACAAAATTAAAAGCACTGTACCATATATTTTAGTACTGAATCATATCAATAACATTTTATATGATTAATCATATTTCTGTATATAAATTAAATTTTCATAATTATATAATTATATTTCTTGTAGATAAAATAATTATTGCAATTATGGTTATTTCTGTGGGTCATGAATTAAATCTTTTATAATGTGGGGTTTTTTATTTATTTATAGGCTTAATTTCAGTAATTCTTAATTTTTGTATGCCCTTCACTGATATAATATAGCCTAAGAATAACAACCATATATGGCAGTACAGATTTTCTTCTTATTGTACTAATACTTTTCTTTTGACTTCAATACTTAACTAGTAAACTCTTTTGAAAATTTTAAAATTTAAAAATTTTCCACAATCATTTTGAAAACTTGTTTTTATGGTGAATATGTACTAATTAATATATTCCATTTTTGTAGCTCAGAAAAGGAGACCAAAAATGTTAACATCAAATTTGAAGATAACTCATGAAGACACAAATTCTGTTTCACCAATACAAAAGTTCCAGTTTGCCTCTCCTTCTAGAAAATATAAGGAAGATGATCTAAATTTAGGAGGAGAAGCTAATAATGATTTACCACATGTTCCTCTGAAGCTGACATATGGTTCTTCCCAGAACAGAAATAACATTGGCACTGGGATAGCACCTGAGAAAAATATTTCTGATGATGTAAAATTAGTTAATTTTATAGAGGATGAAGGAGCAAGCACATCAACCTTTAGAAAAAGGTAATTAATTAAATGAAATAAATAACACTGTGAATAAAGTTGAATATGTGTATGTCAAAAACATGAAGTATGGTAGAATTGTAATAAGAAAGGCTTCAACAACAAATAGAGGTCTACTACGTACCAGACACTGTTAATTCTGAGATTCTAACCACAAGTTGTTATTAAGCGCCTACAATGTAAAGAGAGAAAAAAAAAAAAGTAAATCTCTAGAAATAATTGATTAAATATAATTTTATATAACAATTATTTTGGTAAGTATATGGTTAGAGCAGAAATTCTTAAATATTTTGTTCCTAAACACTTTTACACTTAAAATGTTTTGAGGAGTCCCAAAAAGATTTTTTATTTATGGGGATTATATCTATTAATAATTAACCATATTAGAAATTAAAACTGAAAAATTAATATTTACTAATTTATTTAAATATTACTTTCAGTTGTTAACGTAAACAATGTATTTTTGTGGAAACATAACTTTTCTGGGGCCTCCCTGGTGGCCAGTGTGTTAGGTCTCAGTACTATGAAACTATCTGCAGCCACTACAGCATGAGTTTGATCCCTGGCCAGGGGGGTAACCCAAATGGCACAGTAGACCTCTCCTGTCTCGCCTGCTGCTCCCCTCAGCAGCATAGTTCAGTGGATTTGCTTGTTCTCTCCCCACCTGTGGCCTGTACCCCAGCTCTTGTATGCATAAATAAATCAATCTTTAAAAAAAAAACACATAACTTTGCTAAAAAAAAAAATTTAGTGAGAAGAGTGGTATTGTTTTACATTTTCATAAATGTCTTTAATGTGTAGCTGAAGAGAAAATGGTGGGATTCTCATATTTGCTTTTGCATTCAGTTCATTATGATATTACATGACTTTGAGCATCTAGAAAACTCTATGTGGTCTGGTGAGAGAATAAGAGCTAAGGTAAACAATTCTCTAATTGTATTATAAAAATAGTTTTGATTTTAGGAACTCCCTGAGAGAGTCTCAACCATCCTTGAGAACTACTATTAAGACATGTAACATGGGGACCTAATATGTTATGGAGAGTCAGGAAAAACTTCTCTGAAGTTTTCTGAAAACTTTCTGAGATTCTGAAAAGTGGTTAAACTAAATGCAAGTAAGAATGAGAGTGTTCCAGACAGGAGAAATAGTATGTATGAGACACCTAAAAATGCATAGCTTGACCTATTCTTAGAAAAGTTTCTTTAGTTTAGTAAGAAAGAATGCTGAGACGGTGACGGGTCTAGTCATTTAGAATTTTGTAGACTTGGTAAATATTTTATACTTAAATTATGGACCTACTGCATCACACTCACCTGGAGAGGTTATTAAAAATTTGGATTTCTGGATCCTACTGTGGACCTATTGAATTGCAGTTTACATAAAAGTGGGGTTGAGATCCAAGAATTCATTTTTAACAAATTTCCTAAATGATTTTTATGCACATTAATGTTTGAGAACCATTGTCTTAAGGTCTTGGGTTTTAATCAGAGAAGTAAAATTAAATTTTCTTTTTAAAACTCCATTTTGACCCCCAATATGATGAATTAGCAGGGAGTTACAATACACTGTGAAAACCCACTTCAAAAGTTTATTAGTCTAAAAAAAAAAAAGTTTATTAGTCTAGATGACAGATTGGTAACCTGATCTACAACCTTGGTAACAAAAATGGAAACAGGTCATAATTATTTATGAGCTAGATCCCATAGTACTTAGGTGATTATTGGATATGAGCTCTAACTGAGTTTTCTGGCGTGAGGCAAAATGATGAATAGTAGAATGCCTTTCAGGGTACAGAAAGCTATAAAAGAAGAACAGGCTTTGGGGAAGGTGATGAACACAGATAGGAACATGTTAATTTTATGTACTTATGACTTGTTCAAGTAGATAATTGGATATGTGGGTATAGGATTCAGAAGAGAACTAGTGCTAGTTTTTATTTATTTTCTTTATGAATTGAGACGAGGTCATCAATGGAGTTCGAGGAGGAATGTGGGAATATTGAGCAAGTATGTAAAGAGTGGAAAGAAATTATAGGGAATGAGAAAGCTATCTAATTAGACTAATGGTAGTATTGTTGGACACTGTAAAAGGGCCAGTTAAGGTTGATATCTGAATTTTTTAAAATATTTATTTATACAAGCACTGGGTACAGTCAGAAGCGCGGGAGGGTGAGAGAGAATTCACTCTGGTGAATTCTGCTCCCTGCCAGAGCAGGGAGCAGAGCAGGCAGAAGGACCGAAGTACACTGCTGAGGGGAGCAGCAGGCAGCAGGAGAGGTCTGCGCGCCGTTTGGGACCCTCCTCTGGTGGCCGGGGAGCAGCCGGGGATCGAACCGGTGCTGCAGAGGCTGAGGGCAGCTTCACAACCCAGTGCTCAACCGCTGTGCCACCGGGAGGCCCTGAATTTTTTTTTTTAACATTTTAAAAGGACATGTTTATTAGGACGAGGAGAAAAAGAGAGAGGTACCTGTATAGTCACAGGCAGTCAGGAGAGCTGCCTCTCATGTCTGAATTTTTTATAGCAGTTTGTAGTAGTATAATTCATACACTATAAAATTCATATAAAATTCACTTTTTTGAAGTGTACAATTCACTGGTTTTTAGAATATTTACAGAATTGTGCAGCCATCACTACTATATAATTTTAAAACATTTTCATTACTCCCAAAGAAACTCTATATACATTAACAGTCACTGCCTTTTCCTCCCTCTCCCATAGTGCCTGGCAACCTCTAATTTACCTTCTGTTTCTATGGATTTTCCTTTCTGGACATTTCATATAAGTAGACTCATACAATATTTAGCCTTTGGTGTCTGGTTTCTTTCACTTAGCACAATGTTTTCAATGTTTATCTGTGTTATGTCATATATTAGTACTTTATTCTTTTTTTATAGCCAAATAGTATTTCATTGAGTGGATATACTACATTTTGTTTGTCCATGTCCAGTTGATGAACATCTGAGTTGATTCTATTTTTATAAATAATGTTATGAATATTTGTGCACAAGTTTTTACCATCCTCATTACTTGCCTTTTGTGAGTGTTACATTAGAAACCTTAATGTTCGCTTCACTTCACCCCGAGGGCTCTTATGAAAAAATTATTTTGATTGTCTTTTTAACAGTCATATATAGTTACATTGCAATCATAAAGATGGTCTTTCTGGGTTTTCCAGAACTTTGCAAAGAATTATTTCTTATAGTAATATGATTTTTGGATAGTGTTGTGGGAAATATTTGTTGACAGGACACCTCATTACATGGGCCTCTTTCTAGAATTCCTTGAGTTTTCTCATGATATGATGCCTAACTCCCTTTAGAGTGAGTGATCCAAGAGACCATGTAGGAACCACAGTGTCTTATGATGGAGCCATGAAAGTCACATTCGTACTTCTGCAGCATTCACTAGTTGCATATACTAGTCCTGATTTGTAGGAGACTACAAAAGGATGTGAATACTAGAAGGAGAGCTCTGGGGCCATCTTATAGGCTGGCTACCAGAGATAAATATATCTGAATTTTAGGAAAGTGTAAAGATAAAATTCAGTGGTAAATTTGAGTCATGTTTTAGGAGAATGATCAACTTTTGTGTTTGAATAAACCATAATCTATGGGTATTTTTAAAGAAGTGAGTTATTTGCTAGTTTTTCACGTTGTAAGCAGTTGTTACAAGTGCAAACCATGGTTTCTTTTGTTTTTCAGATTATTTAAAACATCTGACAGTACATATGGGAGTGCTTTTTCTAATGACAGTGCAAACTTGGACTCTCATATTGGCTCAGTGAAAACTGTCCAAACAGAAATGAACAAAGGGAGCTCATGGAAATATAGCAATAGCAAGCAGAAACCTCAGTATCCAAGCATTAACATGTTTACAGCAAGTGATGCTTTTTCTACTTCTGAACTCGGAGGAAGCATATTCAAAGCACCATCTTTTCCAGCTGTATCCCCACCTCAAGGTAATTTCTTGCTTTCTCAGTTGGTTTTATACAAGTACAAATGAATCTGTACTTCTTAGCATAGGGAAAATTAAAAAACTAAAGTAAATTTGAGGTTATCTCTGTGCAGCTAATACATTTCTATATTATGTTGCATGTTGCATCTTTTAAAATTATGCTCTCATATTTCTTAACTGTGCTCTTAATAAAAGGTTATACAAGTTTAATTGAAGCATTTTGTTATGGAAAAGGTTCAAAAATACCCATTTAAGTATGTACAATTTTTTTTCAGGGGTAACAGAAAATTGTTCAGGTTCCTTGAAGGCTATCACAGAAATCCGTATCCTTTAAATTATTTTCTTAACTGTTTTATATTTGAAATCATAATTCTTTCAATTTTTATAGCATTTTTAAAAAAATCATTGCATTCCTGTTTATTTTGATTGACAGAGGGAAAATTGAATCTTCTGAGTCATGTAAACATGTAGTTTGTGGTGGTTAGGACTACTCAAAGTGTGATCTGCAAACTGATGCCAGTTTATGAACTGCTTGTTATTACTTTCTGTCAAGATAATTACACAAGTGACATTTGCATTGTTCACTGAACTCTGAGTATATTTACTCATAAATTCATATAGATAATTTTTTACATTTTGGGTAAGGACAGCTGTATTAGGATAAATATGGGTGGGGTGGATGAATGAGAATTAGACATTCTCTTTTTTTTTTAAAGATTTTATTTATTTATACAAGAACTGGGTTACAGGTCAGAGGTGTGGAAGGGTGAGAGAATTCACCAGAGACAGAGCGGGGAGCAGAACAGGCAGATTGACTGAAATACACTGCTGAGGGGAGCAGCAGGCGAGGCAGGAGAGGTCTGCTGCTCCATGTGGGTTTCTCCCTGGCCAGCCGGGAATCCGTGCTGCAGAGGCTGTGGACAGCTTCACAATGCAGCACTCAAGCCGCTGCCTGAGAATTAGACATTGTCTGGATTGGGGAGATTTTTACAAATCTAGTATTTTTTGAAAAACTCTAATTTGCAGTTTATAAATATTATCCACTTTATATGTCTTTGCATTTCTTGTGTAAGTATTTTGAGGACGTATATGTGTTCTAGAGGTAACATCTTTTTTTCTACTTTGGTGCCCTTTGTATTTATAGCAGTGTACTTACTCAATTTTATTATAATCCATCAGCTGTTTTTGTGACTATTTTCCTATGACCTATAAACTCCTTGAAGGCAAGGACCATGCCTTATTAATCTTACTTCCAAATGCATTGATAGGCAGATGAAGTAAGAAGTTGTTCTGGCAAGAGTAACCATGAGCAGGAGGGAGGGTAAAAAATGTGCAAAATAAGTTTTCCAGTTTGGTTAATAGAAAAGACATGATTAAAGGAGTAGCAGGAAATAATATTAGGTAGCTGTTCTGGAATTTGATTATTTAATGCCATTAATACCAAATTCTAGAATTTTTGTTTTTACTTCTAATATGTATCATAAGCAATGAGGAAAAATTACCTAATATTTTTGAGCAAGTCAAGTTACATCATGAAAACTGTGCTTTAGGAATATGAAATTGGTGACTGAAAAGCTGGGAAAGACTCTAGAATTCCAGATATTGGGCAGTTGAGCTAGAGAAATTTAGGGGACAAAGATTCTCAGCCTAGATACTTTGCAGGCTATTCTGATGATTCTGAAGCGTGGTTAGAAAATAGTTGTCTGACTACTCATGAAAAATTGCCTCCCATGCAGAGTGATGGAGAAGATAGTAAGAGAGTTAATCACAATAATGTAACTACTTCAGACATAGCCAGCCTTTTGTGCTTCTGTTGAGCATTGTGTCTCAATCCTGCTGCACTTCCTTCTCAAAATAAGCTGGGAATATAGGAAATAGGGGAGTATTTAAGTTGGTTTCATTATCAATATGATGGGAAATTATTCTTATCGCCTACTGAAACTTGCTATAATATAGCACAATCTTTTAAGAGTTGTAAAGATTTTCATGCTGTTATCACAGCTGAAGTAATTGTTTAGGTTTCTTTGTTGAGTGCATTGATACATTGTCCAAAAAGTTCAGTTGCTGTCAAACTCAATTTTAACTGCTGCCTTTCATTATTTACAAGTATATAATTAAAGTAGAGGACTGAATGCTATTCAAGTGATTATTTGAGAGTTTGGAGATTACTTGGACACACTTATTTTCTGATTCTTTTCCAATGTTCTAGTGTTTGAATCCTCAGGATAATAGAGGTTTGGTAAGATTTATCCTACCATAGTGTTCTTGTCATTTTCAGCTCTGCAGACACTTCCCTCCCGGTTAGGACATATATTGCACTGACACTGCTGAGATCTTGTTGAATGAAAGGAAAAACTTAGTATCAAGTGTTTTTAGTGATAAATGTTAGTAGTTGAGTTTCCTCAATTACTAAATCAGAGATTCCTTCTTATAAATGTAAATTGATACGGAACTACCTAATGAGAGAAAAACCAGCATGATGGACCATTTGTGGACTTGTTACAAATAAATATTTTATTGGAAAAGACATATTTTGAAGGAAAAATGAGAATCCTTCAGAAATTGATGGAGTGCTGGACTCAAAATTACATTTTTGTTTTGCACAAATATTATGACAGTCTTCACAACTAAAAAGAAAATGAAGATTTATAAATTATCTGCCTGTTTAATAAATGCAGGGCTGTATTAGTTGAATACTTACTGTGTTCTGGGCACTGTTTTGGGTATTTGGTATGTCAGTCAAGAAAACAACCTTTGCTCTGGAGAAGTTAACATTTTTGGAATGGGACATGGGAAGTGAATAATCGAACAATTATAACAGTGTATCAAGAGCCCTATAGTATTTTAGAAGGTGATGAGTACTGTGCAAAATAAGAAAGTGGAACAGAATAAAGGAGATGAAATTGGGAATACTGTGCTTGGGGATCCAGATTAGAAATAAGTAAAAGGAGATGAAATAAGGGAAAAGAAGAGTCTAAGCATTCTGATTATAAATATGAGCATCACTGCTTTCTTTTGATTTCCATTTGCCTGGAATACCTTTCTCCATCCCTTCACCGTGAGCCTATTTGTGTCCTTAGATGAAATTTTTCTCTTATAAAGAGCAAATAGTTGAGATGTGTTTTTTTACTCCATTCAGTCACTTTATAGCTCTTGATTGGAGAATTTAGCTCATTTGCATATGAAAAATTATTGATTGATATGAACTATTGACATTTTATTGTTTTCTGACTTTATATTTCCTTTGCTCCTTTCTTCTTCTATTGTTCTTTTTCTTTTGTGATGTGATGATTTTCTATAGTGATATGGTTTGATTCCTCTTTTGTTTATCTATTGTAGGGTTTTGCTTTGTACTTATGTGGAGCTTGTTTGCAAACATAACTGTCTTTTACTGATAACTTTGGATGAAAAAGCAAGCTCTACAATTTTACACTCCCTGCTCCATGTTTTATTTTTTGATGTCACAATTTTTATTTTTATATGTCTATCCATCAACTAATTGTTATATACCTATTTTTAAGACTTTGGCCTTTTAACTTTTATACTAACTAGAGATATAACTAATTAACCAACACCACTATAGTATTAGGGTATCCTGAATTTATGTATTTGTCTGTTTGCCTGTTACTAATTAGCATCCTTTCATTTCAGCTTGAAGAGCTCCAGTTAGTATTTCTTATAAGGCCTGTCTAGTTATAAGTAACTCCTTCAGTTTTTGTTTGTGTAGAAAATTCTTTATCTTGTCTTCAATTCTGAAGGGAAACTTTACCAGGAAGAATATCTTATGATGTTTGATGCTAAAATACCAAGTATAAAAGTCTGATCATTAAGTGTTGTCAAAGTAAATATTAATTTAACTTAAATTTTAAGTTAATTTTAAACCTATTTTTAAATTATGAAATATTTGACTCCTTAATGTTATTCTAAGCAACAAAATTTAGAAGTATTTTCAAAGAATTCCCATATTTCAACTATATACAGTCCAAAGCCTTTGATGATGTAAGTATTTTATTATAATTATTTATCTGCTTCTTCTTACTATTATAGATTGTTTGCTCTCTAAGGACAGGGACAGGATCAGATTCATCTTTATGTCCCCAGTATCATACTGGTACATAGCTGTAGGGACTAAAAAAATGTTTGTTAAATTAACGAATGTGATTTTTTTCATGGGTGGTTGATTTGTATTTGTTAGATTTATAAACATTTTTCTGGAAGAAATTAAATTATTTTCTTCTAGGTCTAGCATATCACTGACAAACAGAATTGGCAAATTATTAATAGTGTTATTTTTTTAGTGTAGTGAATCTAGAATAAGGTTATAATTTTAGAGGTAAAAGTGTCTGAACTTGTGGTATTCCACAGATTCTCCCTAAGACATTCTTTCTAACAAATTGAGAATGTGTGTGAGAAACTATATATTCCATAGTTAATTAAATGTTATTTTTTAGCTTCTTTACACAGATAAGAATTTTGTGATTTGTGCTCCAACTGGTTCTGGGAAAACGGTACTGTTTGAATTAGCTATAACAAGATTGTTAATGGAAGCACCATTGCCATGGTCAAATATTAAAATTGTTTACAGTAAGTATTTATATATTGTGTGATAATTATAATAAGTAAAAATCATTGAGGTGAATGTAAAAAAATAAAGTTTAAGCCATTGGAATTATTACCTGGTTTTCCACATTTTTTTAAAATAAAGATATATCACTTTTGGTCTCATCTGTTACATTAAATTCAGAACACACTTTACCAGAGTTATAAAGTAATAATTGAATTAGAATTTTGTCTTTACATTTTTATTTTTAAAAGGACAGGCAAGATGAACAAATAAAATCAAACATTTATTAAACATTATTATTATTAAAAATCAAACATTATAGGAACCTCTCCTTTCTTAGGTGTGTATTTTTTTTAAAAAATTTTAATGAAATTATTTATGCATGTGTCTTTTAAAAAATCACTTTGTAAGTGATTACAAAAAACTTACAATGAAAAACATTAATTTTCTTGCCTTGCTTCTCTTCATTATTAGTTGCAATTCCTGAGTAATCACTTTTCCTCCCTAACTTTAAGTCTATTTGGTGATTATCATCTCCACATCTCTAAGTAAAATGTTTATGCTGTTAATTTTAATTTTTATTAGCATTAGATAGCATTTGGAGATGTATAATTATCCTAACTTTATTAACTGGTATTTGTGGAAAAAATTTTAAATTGTACTGACATTGACAATAAATACCTCATATTGTTATAGTGGCACCAATAAAAGCCCTGTGTAGTCAGCGTTTTGATGACTGGAAAGGAAAATTTGGACCAATAGGATTGAATTGCAAAGAACTCACTGGAGATACAGTAATGGATGATCTATTTGAGATTCAGCATGCCCATATTATTATGACAACTCCAGTAGGTGTTATTTATACTTTATTATTTCCTTGGTTTACTAGAAAATATCTGTTTCTCTTCACCAAGAAAAAAGTTAAAATACAAAGTAGAAGTGTATATTTGCAAGGTAAGTGAACAAACAGAAATAAGAGTACTAGTATTTAGGGTATATAAAAAATACTTACAAATAAAGACAAACAACAGGAAAACAGACAAAAGATTTAAATAGGTAATTTGTTATTGTGGATAATTTGCACATACTTATTGCTTGTGCTCTTTTACCCAAGAATTATATATTAAAGAGGGGGACCTGGAAGAACTTTAAAAGAACTGATTAGACTATAATTTTAAATACTTTTGGCATAACTTAAAACAGATTGAGGATCCATTTTTTAAACACTGTAAAACTGTCAAAATCTTTTAAATCTTTTTCATCTTTAAATATTTTTCAGGATACTCTTCAAATACTTCTAAACTATTGCTAATCTATAATTTGTCTTGTTAAAATTTTATTGACATCTTAATAATATTTTATAATTCATTATAATGTTAAACCACTTGCACTTTTTTCTGTAGGAAAAATGGGATAGCATGACTAGGAAATGGAGAGACAATTCCTTGGTCCAGTTGGTTCGACTGTTTCTCATTGATGAGGTACTAAGTACATTTTTCATTTCAGAGATAAACATAAAAAGATGATTAGAATGGATAGAAAGAAACAAGCATTTTCAACATTATTTTCTTTTATTCCTTCAAAGGTAACATGTTCATGTTCTCAAGGAAGTGTTAATATTATTACACATTTTAATTGGTGAAATAGCTTTTTTATTTTTATAGCTAATGATTCTTTCTTGATTTTTTTTTCCTTAGGTACATATTATAAAAGATGAAAATCGTGGCCCAACTCTAGAAGTTGTAGTCAGCAGAATGAAAACTGTACAGTCTTTATCTCATACTTTAGAAAATACCAGCATTATTATTCCAATGAGATTTGTAGCTGTATCTGCAACAATTCCAAATGCAGAGGATGTGAGTTAGAATTTTAGCTTATCAGATTTTTTTGTAACTAGTGAAATGTATAGTTATTTTAATCTTAGAGAAAAGTGATGTTTTTTTAATCACTTAACCAATTTAATATGAAAATATGTATCGAGAGTTATGGTTTAGATATCACAGATATGGCAGTGTGAAGGCCATAAAATTAGGTTAATCTGGTTTAATATAATATTTTGGTTCATGTCTATTGTTTGCTGGTATCTAAAAGTATTAGTTCTGTAGGTTTTAGCCACTTCATAATAACCTAAGTAATATATAATATATTATGATTGTTGTAACCCACTGATTCTAGTTCTATAGCAAAGTAGGGTGGATAATAAAAATAATTGCTTAGATGATTATCACCTGCCTCCTCCAACTCTGTGTGCCTGGCACTGTGTCAAGCACTAATGGTAGATGCAAAATAAAAACTCACATTCCTGCTTTTGAGGAGGATCATGAGATACATGTGGTATAGAACATATAAAGAAATAATTGTAGGTAGTATCATACTTTATGTAATAAATAAATGTCCTTTTTTTCCCACAAACTTCTTAAAAATAGTAAAATTTCATTATACTTTCTCATTCCTATTTACTTCTCATCCTACTATAATGTGACTTTTCCCCAACTACTATTAGAAATTCTTTTCACAAATAAATGCTGTATTTCTATTCCAGAGGGAAATTTTATTTTTATTTTTAATGTGGCACAATTAAATCATTTTCTTGAGCTGAAAAAAACCTGTTGAAAAGTAGCAAAGATGTTGCAGTGAGGGTAAGAAATTCAATTTTTCTGCCAAAATCAATTTCAATTTTACTTTGGATGATGAAAGGAAAATAAAACAAAATTACAATAAAAAATTAGAAACTTACTGTGGTGAAAAATGGGTATGATCTTGAAATGCTGCTGTAAATAGTATCAATGTATTAATAAAATCATGTTTGTGGGCTATGTAATGTTAAAAAAAATACTACTTAATTAAAAATTTTTATACCTTGATTAAAGTGCTTTATACTTGGTCTATTATTAGCCATAAAGCTTTACTAGAAAAATTTTTAATGTTTCTTTTATTTAAAGATTGCAGAGTGGCTTTCAGATGGTGAAAGACCTGCTGTATGTTTAAAAATGGATGAGAGCCATAGACCTGTGAAACTTCGGAAAGTGGTCCTTGGATTTCCCTGCAGTAGTAACCACACTGAATTTAAGTTTGATTTAACCCTGAACTACAAAATCGCCAGTATTATACAAACATATTCTGATCAGAAACCCACACTTGTGGTATGGATTGTTGGTTGCTTTTTTTTTTAGTGTAATGTTCCATTTTTAATGTGATTAATATACAAATTATTCACTCATTTTCAGTTTTGTGCAACAAGAAAAGGTGTGCAACAGGCTTCTTTAGTTCTTGTGAAAGATGCTAAATTTATTATGACTGTGGAACAAAAGCAAAGGTATTTTTTAAATTTTTTCTTGAAGGTCGAAAGACTTTTAGGGATCATTTAGATGTGATGAGAAATTGGATTTATTCCTTAATCCTTTCAAGTTCTTTCACCTTCAAGTGTCACTTTTGTCATTTGTAAAATAAGCATTAACAGTAATTGGAGGAGTGAGTAAGATAATGAATCTTAGTGCAATTGTGATCTATCTTCTTTATTTCATAACCTAATTTCTTGAAGGAATGTTATTATTATTGTCTTTATTTTTTACCCACCTTGAATCCCAAATTTGTTGTTAATCTTTCAGGAAGCCTGAGCTTGATAATTGATTTCTCAGCGCCTCTAAAATATTTGACCACTCCTACCTTCTTTAAAGCTCTGGATGCTGTGCTTCCATGATCATTCTCTACCAAGTTTCTTCCAACTTCACTGCTTGCTCTTTCTCAGTCCCCTTTTCACTCTTCTACCCAACTCTTAAATGTTAAGATCCTAGGGGCTTTATCCAAGGTTTATTTCTGTGCCCCTGGGTGTTTACATATATCATATGGGTTCAAAGAATATATGTACACATATTTATATATGTTTGTGAATACCCAAATTTATTGCTCCAAACCACACTTCTGTGCACCAGATCTGTAGTACATCTGCCTAATTGACATCTCCAACATCTCTTAGTTGCTCTTGGCAGAAACCTATTATTAACATTTCCGTCAACAGTCCTCCCTATAGGCAATCAATTACAAATCCTGTTTATTTTCACTTCTAAGTGTATCTCAAATATATCATTTTGTCCTCATCACCACTGCTAGGACTCTAATTCCAGTCACCATTAATCTCTTGCTTTTTATCTGATCCCTACACACACTCTTATCCCACTTTGTTACCTACATAGCAGAGTGATTATTTAAAATTGGGGATCTAAATATGTCAGGTATTAGCCTAAAATTCTTTAATAGTTTCTTATTGTCAATATGATAACATCCTGTGTCCTTAATATGGCCTATAATAATCTATATAAAATGATATTTAATTGTCCAGACTCATAATGAAAATTATAGATATTCTATATGGCCTAAAGATGGTTTTCAAATAGTGATATTATGAAAAATAATTTATTTTAATAGCCCCAAGGTAATGAGCTATTAAGAGATTTTGATATTAATGGAAGTAACTCAATAATTTTGTGGTACTTTTGAACAGATTACAAAAGTGTGCAAATTCCATAAGAGATACAAAACTGAGAGGTAGGTTTACAGTTAATTTTTGAATCACATATTGAATGAAATTTTGGTATAGACATAGTTATTGATGAAATTTTAATAATACATAACAGAGGATGTATTTCTGTTATAGATATCTTAATACATGGTGTTGCTTTTCATCATGCTGGTATGGAGTTATCAGATAGAAAACTAGTTGAAGAAGCTTTTACTGTTGGAGATCTACCAGTTCTTTGTAAGTAAAACATATTCTTGTGTATTAAAGATATTTTGGAAAACAACCTTTTTAGAAAAAGAAAAAGCTCATTTCCTGACTTATTTTTGCTTTTCTTGCAAAAATCTAAAAAATTATGTAATTACCAGTACATATATGTGGTACAGTAATTCTGGCAGTTTTAGTTCTTTATCATGTTACTGAATGTAGTGTAATTAGAAAAGTAAGAATTTAATAGAATTTTGATTTTAGGATGTTTTGTTTTATATTCTGACATTCTTTTTTCTTCCTTTTAAAAAAATTGCCTATATGGGAGTTATTATTTCATTTATTAAAAGATAGCTTTTATAAGAAAATGTTGATGGTGACTTGAAAGTAAAGTTGTATGACTTGAAAGTAATATTTCTTAATCTGGTGCAGTTACTACCAGTACTTTGGCTATGGGAGTAAATTTGCCTGCTCATCTAGTAGTTATAAAATCTACAATGCATTATGCTGGAGGAATGTTTGAAGAGTACAGTGAAACAGATATTCTGCAGATGATTGGTAGAGCTGGTCGACCTCAAGTAAGTGATATTTTACTTTTTGTAATTTTACTTTCTATAATTTTATTTTTTTAAGATTTATTTTATTTATGCATACAAGAGCTGGGGTATAGGTCAGAGGTACAGAAGCTGAAAGGATTCACCAGAGACAGATTGGGGAGCAGAAAAGGTGGATCTTCTGAAATACACTGCTGAGGGGAACAGCAGGCAAGACAAGAGAGGTCTGCTGTGCCATGTGGATCAGCTCCCTGAACAGGAATCGAACTCTGCAGTGGCTGCCGATAGCTTCATAGTGCTGAGATTTAACCCCTTGCACCACCAGAGAGGCCCAGCTTTCTATAATTTTAAAGACATGGTAAAAACCAGGAAACCCTTTGTGTGTATATTTTGATCCCTTTATTAACATTAGTATTTTATTAATTATTATTTGATATTTAGATTAGGTTTAAAAATGAATGTAACTGAGAAAAATCTATTTTAATGGAGGAATAAAACAAGTCTTACAAAAAAGATAGACTCCCCTACCCCTCTAGGTTAATGAATGGTAGGGTTTTTGAAGGTGTATTATATTAAAGGTTTTTCTCGTTTTAAGCTTTTTATTTTTGTTTTGTTTTTTATTCTGAATTGGGATGCTGTTAGCATTTTGTATGGGACAGTGTTTCATTGTATTGGATTGTCATGCAATGCAGAACTTGTAGTATTCCTGAGTTCTGGCACAAAATGCCAATAGGGGTCTACAGGTATTGTGACAATTAAACATCACTTAACATGTTAACAAAGCATGCCCTACTCTGACAAACACTTGAAAGCAAGTCATTCATTAGTACTAAGGGAAACTTTAGGAGGACATCATTTCAAAAAATGTCAGAATACTGTTATACAAATCTATATTTTTATTTGGTAAATTAGATTATATGTAAACTACACTAAATCTTACATTTTTTTATCCGATTAAGTTTTGACTTTGCCACTGCCAAAATTATGTTACACTGAAACCAAATATTGATGTGTGTACTCTCGAAAGATTTTTAAATTAAATTTTCAGTTAGCATTTCATTTCAGAAGCATTAAACTGCATTTTTGACCTGTTACTTAAGACAAGGGAACTGTTTAATATAAAATATAAGTCTTGAGTTAGTGAAGAGGACTGGTATCAACAGGTGTTCTTCTGTACTAAATATCTCTGTATCCATGTGTGTATTTCCAGTTTGACACTACAGCTACTGCAGTTATTATGACTCGATTAAGTACAAGAGAGAAGTACATTCAGATGTTAGCTTGCAGTGACACTGTAGAAAGCAGGTAATTACATATTATAAAATGATAATGTTAATATAGCCTATATATTTCCTTTTGATATATTAAAAGGTACATGGCTAGGGACTGTCTGAGACCATTTTCTTGAAATTTTCAATAATTTAACTAGAAAGTTTGTGTCCTTTTAAGAAATTTAAGAGTTAAAAAAAGATAGCATAGTCATTTTATTCTGCAGTGTTTCTTAGCATGTATTCGTATTCTAAAAAGTCATATTAGTAAAGAGGTATATGATTTTCACATCTCTTTACATTTAAAAATTTGTTTGGTAACAGTTAGGCAATCTGGGATCTTTTAGTGAAGTATTTGATTATATTACTCTTAGAAAAATAGGATATAATTCACTGCCTACCCTTTTTTTGTTTCATTTATGTATATATATTTGTATGCATATATGCATATACAGATAAATATTTATTTTTATTTGTTTCCCCCACCTCATTTATTTGTATCTGCTCGTTTTTATAGGTATTTTGTTTTGTTGAATCATTTGTTATGTAAATAGCCAGTATCTGTCTTTTTCATTCTGACCTGCTTTACTACACATAATCACCTGAACTCATTCCATTTTGTTGTAAGTGACAACATTTCATCTATGGCTAGATATTTTCCATTGTGTGGATATTCCAGATCTTCTTGATCCACTCCTCTCTCATTGAGCACTTAAGATTATTTCTGTGTCCTAACTATAGTAAATAATGCTGCAGGAAACATTTAGAGCATATGATTTTTTTTAGTTGTTGGTTTCGTGTTCTTTGGGTAGGTACCCAAGAATGGGATTACTGGGTCATACGGTATTTCCATTTTTAAGATTTTAAGGTAAATTCATATCATTTTACAAAATGGCTACACCAGTTTACATTCACACCAACAGTGTAATAGAATTCTTTGTTCATATCCTCTCTACTTTTTGTTGGTTGGGTATCTTTTAAATCTGTGCCACTCTCATGGGTGTGTGATATGTCATTGTGGTTTTGAATTTCCAAGGAAAAATGTTCATCGTCATTTTTAATAAGGGAGATGTGGGTCAAAATAATAATGAGGTATCATTTTTATCTTCCTTATTAAAAGCAATGATGAATTTTTTCCCATGTGTCTACTGGTCTTCTGGTTATCCTCTCTGGTGAATTGTTTCCTCAGATCTGCTATTTATTTATTAACAGGCTTATTTTTTTTTAATGTTAAATTGGCTACCTTTTTTAGATATCTTGTATATTAACCCTTTGTATAATGTGTAAATATGTTCTCTCATTTAGTAGGATGTCTTTTTAATCTATTTATATTTTCTTTTCCTCTGTTAAAATTTTTTAATTTGAGGTAATCCAGAAAAATTGTTTACTTTTGCTTTTATTTCCCTCGACATAATGGTCAAATCTCCAAAAACATCTTTGTCGTTTATGTCATGAAATATATTGCCAATATTTTTTCCCATATATTTGTTGTTGTAGGTCTTGTATCTGTCTTTAATCATTTAGAATTTATTTTTGTGCATGGATTTATAGTCATCCAACTTCACTCTTTAACATGAGGCTGCTCTGTTTTCCCGGCAGCATTTGTTAGAGACTCTCCTTTCCCCATGGTGTGGTCATGGCTCCTTTATCATAAATTATTGATATAGATTTATTTCTGGACTTTCCATTCTGTTCCCTTGTGTGTCTATTTTATGCCAATACCATATTGTTTTAATTACTATAACTTTATAGTATAAAAGCAGTTAATATGATGTTTCTGTTCCTCTGCTTTTTTCTCAGTATTGATTTTGGTATTTGAGGTCTTTTATGGTTCCATATAAGCTTTAATATTTTTTGTTTAATTTCTATGAGGAATACAGTTAGTATTTTGATAGGGGTTACATTTAATATATATATACATATCACTTTTGGTGGAACCATCATTTTCAATATATTGATTCTCCCCATCTATGATAATGGAATATCTTTCAACCTCCTTACTTGATGATCTAAGTCCGTTAATAAAGTTTTGTAGTTTATATTGTATGAGTCCTTCACCTTCTTGGTTAAGCTAATTCTTAAATATTTTATTCTTTTATGAGGCAATTATATATGAAATTATTTTCTTAATTTCTTATTCATTGTTTATAAAAATGCAATAGATTTTTGTGGGTTGATTTTGCCTCTTTGCTGTATTCACTTACCATTTTTAATAGTTTTATTGGTGGAATCTTTCTGGTTTTCTCCATACAGTTTTATATCATCTGTGAGTAAGCATAGTTTCACTTATTTTTTCAAGCTGGATTCCTTTTATTTACTGTTATTGTCTGATTGCACCATAAAACTTTTAATACTAAATTAAACAGAAGTGGTGGCAGTGGACATTTTTATTTTGTCCCTGGCACCTTAAAGGGAAAGCCTTCAATTTTTCACTATTATTATGTTGGCTGTACATTTGTACTTTATAGCCTTTGTTATATTTAGTAGGTTCCATCTGTTTCTGAAGCTAACACATATCTAGTCCCATGTTGTTTAGAGATTTTGTCATAAGTGGGTGCTGAGTTTTATCTAGTGCTTTCTCTGCATCTGTTGCTATTACATGACTTTTATCTTTACTCTTGTTGATACATGTTGCATTAATTGACTTATATATATATTAAACCATCCATTCTTCCCTGGGATAAATCCTACTTGATCATGTTGTATAATCCCTGTAATGTGTCCATGATTTAACAACAGCAGAGGATCTCTGTACCGCAACCTTCTGGTGGTTTGCACTGCCCTACAAACAGTTTAGTTATTCCTACCTTCTTTTGCTGCACCATTGTTCTGGATGTATGTCATCCATTTATCTCTCAGGTGTTATTGACTTTGTTTTGCTGTAATTTCGTTGTGCACTTGTGGAAGAGGTGAATTTGGAATCTTTACTCTGCTGCTATTTTGCTGAACTCTCTCACTTCCTACCCACTTTTAAAATAATAGTCTGTCTTCTGGAGCTATGAAGTAGAGAGAAATCTGTAATCTTTTAAAAGCTGAACTGATTGTCTAGGGTTTTGTCTTATGTATTTGAAAATTAAGTTATATTTCTTGAATTATTAAAGTAGCAATGAATATATTATTTCATTATTTAATTATTTAATATATTATTGAAGCTAAAAAAACTTACAGCATTGAAATACATATAACTAATGCAAAGATTTTTTTTATTAGTTTGCACAGACATCTTATCGAGCATTTAAATGCAGAGATAGTGTTGCACACCATCACAGATGTGAATGTTGCTTTGGAATGGATACGGTCAACCTTGCTTTATATCAGAGCCTTGAAAAATCCATCTCATTATGGTAAAAGTAATTTTTTCAAGCCTGTTGGATCTATATACTCATAAATCAAAGAACAGATTGTAGAAACTAATAGGTTACAAGCAAAAAGTAATAATAGTTCACAAATACATTTAGAGGCAAGAATAGATAAATGTGAGCAATTTTTATTTTACTACTAGTTTCTCAATAAGGTTTGAAATCAACACTATTAAAAGTAGATATTTTAGAAAAATTTTAACTTAAAAAATAACAAAACTGCCAAAATTATTTAAAATAAGTTAAAGTTTTTAAAAAGTATTGAATTTTATCTAATCTGGCATTCAAATCAAAGTATATATTCTATTATTGCTGCTGGAATTTTTATACTGTTTCTGAAGCTAACATGTATCTGGCCATGTTGCTTCTAGAGGGGTCTTTTATGTGATATAGGTTTTAAAATAAAAACACTTGGAATTATTGACTATCAAATTGAAACCTAACTCATTCAGTATCATTCTAATGCATATAGATTCAAAGAGTTTAAATCTCCAAAAGGAAAATAATACATCTTTTCCTGGTCACTGTTGTTACGCAATAAAATAAGCAAAAGACAGTCATTTGATATTGTAACTTTATTTTCTATAGATTATTTTTGCTATTAAGATATACTTTTATTATAATTATCATGCATTATACTTGTCATATACTTCAAACAGAGATAGTATTAGTAGCCTAGAACACAAACTTCCTGTTCCTTTACTTATGACAGTTTTTTTTTAATTTAAATATTTTATTTTCTATAATTCTTACATCTTTTTTCATCTTTGCACAATGGATGCATTTTCATTTTGGTTATATTCCCCATACAATTGCACCTCCCCTATGTTTAAGCCTCCCTCTAGCTCACCAATCTATTGTTTTTCCCACCTTAGATTTAGTAAAATTTTTCACAATTCAAATTTAAACTTTTTCTAGTTACCAGATATAAACTGTTATACCTCGAAGTATGAACTGAGCCTATAAAGATGAATTCAGTCCATTCAATTTAATTTTTCTTATAAATTTTCATAACATACAGGTTTTGTATCTGGATTGAACAAAGATGGAATTGAAGCCAAATTACAAGGTTAGATGTATTCCTTTATAAAAAAAAAATGTATTCCATAAATTTTAATGAAAAATATTAATGTGAAAGTAAGAAGACTTGTAAATTTTCTTAAATATCTTTGTGATTTAAAGGAAAAAATATGAACTCTTTTTCACGTGCAAATAAAGCTTAGTACATGTACTTTTTCCTTAATACATTTATTCTATCAGAATATCTTCCTTTGTATAATGTGTTATTTTGGTTTGTTTTTATTTTTAAAATGACACTGGTCTTTAAAAATGTTTATTTTTCTTTTCTCTCTTAATTTTAATTAAAATATAATTTTTCCCTGATTATGGACTTTGTCAGTATGCAAAGGAAATCATCTCTTAACCCTCTGGGTTCTCTTTGGTTGACAAGTAATCAAAACAGCATCATTTGGGATAGCAAAGGAAAATTAGTTCAATAACATATGGAGAATTTACATGACTGTAAATATTAAAGAATAATGGAGTGAACCAGAGATATTTATCCAGCATTTTGGGACCTGGGATGTCAAGGAGAGAACTGGGAGGCTTAGCAAATGATAGATACCAAGTTGGGTTAACACTTCCTTGCTCTGAGAGAAAAATAGGATTCTTAGATAGAGGGAGGACATGGTCACTGATAAATTTATTACTGAATAAGACGCCTCAACTACATTCTTCTAGCTCATAAAGGGGAGGGGGGCAGTAACTACTTCTCTGATTAGGAAAAAGGATAGAACTTAGGATAAGAAGATCTCTTCTTTGATCAGGAAGAGCTAAGGATTTAGGCAAAAAAAGAAGCCTCTTCTAACCTTCAGGGCCCTCATTGCCCTTAGCTCATTCTTTTAAGTAATAGCCTTCCTAGGCTCACAGGGCCTCAGTTGATCTCTTGTTCCCCATATCAAGGTGACAATTACTAGAAGAAATCTACCATGGGCATGTTGAGAAAGGCTATCTGGCCCTTTTAGGAAGACTAAGTCCACAGCTTCTTATCCTAATCTGTGCTAATGATGTATCCCTATAATACCGCAGCTTTATTTTTCAGTTAATCACTCAATATTTCATTACCAGTCTTTAAAAGTATTAAATGTTGTTAAGCATTTGTTTTAATTAGAGCTATTTCTTCATTGTATTGAGACAGTTACAGTAAAAGAAAAAGGTTTGTTAACCATATCTGTGTATGTAATAAATTTTGAGTGTTCCCAGAGCCAACAAATAACCTACCAAATCATACCCAACAGGAACACTCTACTTTCAGAAAGTAAGGAAAACCTATTTAAATAGTTGCATACACACACATCATTTTAAAGCTCCAAATAATACATGTATTTTACCACTTATTGAATGTTAATTATTTGTATTATTTTTACTATTAGAAAATCCTTTTTTGCCATCTTACTTTGCCACTTAAGTAGGGACAATAGTTCTCAGAACAATTATATAATAATACAACTGGAGCATATTTAATTAGCTCCATTTTGTGTTATTTTCCTTATTTTACTAAAATATGTTTTCTATAATTGAACAGAATTATGTTTGAAGAATCTGAATGATTTATCATCTCTTGATTTAATAAAGATGGATGAAGATGTTAATTTCAAACCAACCGGTAATTTTTTTTATCATTATTAGTAAAGGAAGAATTGCTTACTTAAGACTAAATAAGAAAATATGTTCTGCAAAAATTTAGAAGTGGAAAAATTAAATTGTGAGCTCGGTTCTTAACAAGGTACCATCATTATTAGAATGATAAATTTAGAGCATGATACAGTCCTGTTTATACAGAACTGATGTATATAGAATGAGGTAGAACTTTTTGATAGGCACAGAATTTGTCTTCACTGAGCAATCCTTGGGTTGTTTCAAAACTGTCATAACTCTTGTAGCTAGTCTTTTGCCAGTTTTTAATTATTCAAGCATTGGTTATCTGGATGGTTCCTTGATATTTCATTAATTCATATTCATTCTCTCTCTCCCCCCCTCACCTCCTTCCCCTCTATCTTCTCCCTCCCTCTTCTTCCCCCTATTATATTCTGAATATATGTAAGAGAGAAAAAATATTCTGTAGTTTTTAACACTCATGATTAGAAGTTTTTTGGAGGAAAATATTGATTGATCCTTTTAAGGAAACTTTATAATAGTGAGGAAGTATAGAAAAGTTTTGAAAAATCAGAATCTGACTATTATCATTTGACATTTATATTTTTCAGTTTTTAATGTGTTGTTCTATTTTATACTTATAAACACAATAAAGAAATGTTTGATTTTATATCATGTTTTCAATTTTTTTAAATGAGATTACATTTTAAAAAATAAGTTACTGCACTCTTAACCATAGATACAACATTTTTTTCCTATTCCCCTGGTCCTTATTCTGATAAACCTAATTTTGTTTGTAAGAATTTTCTTCTGTGTATTCTAGGGTGTCTCACTAGAGAGGGAATGAGAATCATTAATGTAATTACCTTTATTCTTAGATACTTCCACTCTGAAGAGTCTTACTCCCACTGTTATTCCTTCCGTTCTTGAATTAATTGATACCATTCTTTTGCCTTTAAACACACTAATATATGATTTATATGGTATTTTCTCTTCTTTGTCCATTTTCAGTGGATAATTTAATTTTCCATTCCTCAATGCTCTACTCCGTTGGTTCTCTAGGCTGCTTTAATCAGTCTCTCTTTTCTGACCTTTTTTCTTTTTCTATGGGCAACTTAAAGTTACAGACCTTGGATCTTTATTCCCAGTTTATGATTATTTCTTTGAAAACATAATTTACCTTCATAGCTTCAGCTGTAGCCAATATGTAAATTAACTCAAAGTTTATTTTTTTATTCTGTTCTCTTATCTTTGCTACAAAATTTGATCTTCAGTTTTCTGTTGAGATTTTATTTACACATGACATAAAACTTGACATCCAGAAACGAGTAACAGTTCATTTGACCTGGAATACTTTGAGGCAAATAGAGTTTGGGTACCAAAAACCTGGATTTCAGTCACGGTTGTAGCACTTGGTAGCTGTGACCTTATGTTCACTGAGCCTTAGTTTAGTCATCTGTACCTCCTACTTGCCTTATAGGCTATTGCAGCATTCAGTAGGATACAAAATACACTGCTGAGGGGAGCAGTGGGCATGGCAGGAGAGGTCTGCGTGCCATGTGGGACCCTCACCAGGGGCCGGGGATCAAACTGGCGCTGCAGAGGCTGCGGGCAGCTTCGTAGCCCAGGGCTCAACCGCTGTGACACCAGAGGAGGCCCTCTTTTTGTTTTTTACATTCATTAATGGAACATTCGTTAATGTTACAAAGAACACTAATGTTGTAGAACATGATTTGGGAAACATTGTTATATACAAAAATAAATAGTAAATAGATTTAGTATCTAAATATTTTTAAATAAAGCTATTTTAAAATGAAAGAAAATAGAGCTTATTACCTTAATCTCTAGCTGGGAAAGGGCTTTCTTAGCAACTTAAAAGTTCTTACAGCATTTCTTTCTTTTAAAAAAATTTACATTGACTAAAACTCACTTTTTTTAGTTTGTACACTACAAAGTGATCCATAGGTCAAATAGTAAATTTCAAGGAAAATTGAAAATATTTTGAACTGTCATTTATAATTGGTGCCTACTCTCATCTTTTATAATCAGGCCTTACAGAATTTTATTAATTTTTTAATCTTGTTAATGAGTCAACTTTTTACTTTGGTGATCCTTTCTATGATATTAGTTACTTCTGTTTCACTCATTCTATTCGACCTCACTTCTGCTTTCCTTAGTTTTACTATGCTGTTCTTTTATTAACTTCTTAAGATAACTACGTAGCTCTTAATTTTCAGCTCTTCTTCTCTTCTAATACAACCTGATTTTTCATAGCTTATATTTAGTACTATGAATTACCTCATATGCAAATGGTAAATGTGAGATTCATATTTATACAATGAAAAATTTGCACTGATAATACACCATTTTCCCTGGCACTACATGAAATAGCTCTTAATAGATATCAGAGTTTTTCAGAGAAACAGAACCAGTAGAATGTATGTATATGTGTAAAATAGAAATATGTAATTATATTTATACACATATTTATGTGGAGATATATAAATAGATGTTAAAGAAATGTTTGTTAAACTGATGAAAAAGCAAGTCATTTCAACTGATGAGGGTCCATGTTTATTTTTCAATCTTTTACCACAGAGGCAGGAAGATTGATGGCTTGGTATTATATTACATTTGAGACAGTGAAGAAATTTTGTACAATCAATGGAAAAGAAACTTTATCGGATCTGGTAAATTTTCTCTAGAAAACAAATATGTGATGATATAGTTTAAAATAAAATTGGAGAAACAACTAATTTGTATATCTCATGGATTTAAGTGAATAAAAGAGAAAGCATTTCAAATAGTGCTTATATCTCCCCATTATCTGCCCTTGCTCCTGAGACATAGGATATTCCTCCTTAGAATAAATTTTTAGATGTATCTTTGTAAGAGAGCTAAAGAATGTAATATATATACCAAAAGTAATATAATCCTAAGTGATAATGCCTATTACTTTGGCAATGGCTACCAAGTGTAATTATTGAGAATGATGCCAAGACCATGTGGCGTGTACATTAGGAAAGATTACCATGATTATGGGATAATAAGGGACGTGTATGCCATGTACTTACAATCCCTCCCTAAATTATTTGCATGTGAGTAAAAGTAACAGCAGAAATAGTATTTGGTGATAAGCCTCACCCCCCCACTCCAAGAAAAAAGAACTGATTGTAGAGGAAAAAAATAAGAGTAAAAACAAGTCATGCAAAGATATCTATAATGGGAGGCAACTGCAGCAACAGAAGTAAATAGAACCATAATCATATTGTTGGTACCTAGTAACTGTATTTGTTCTTTCTCCCTTTACTGGAGATATAAATTTGAAATAAGGTATTTGTAAAAGAAAATATTTCTTCTCAAATTTAAACCATGACATTAAACAATCTAAGTTGATTATTTTAAGATTAATTAAACAAAATTTCACACAAATTGATGAAAAGTAAAAGGTTTGTATTAGCAATAATATTATTACTTAACCAAGTAGAAATCAATAGTAGAAAATCTTTGATGTTGACATTAACTCATCTGATTTTGAGTTCAGTAATTATGTAAGAGAATTAAGACAGGTATTAGTTTCATTTTACAGATGTGAGAAACCAAAGCACAGATCAAAGTCATCTCACAGAAAGTTTCTAGAATATAAATTTCTTAATATTTAAAGCATTCTTTCTGTTATAAAATTAGCCTAAATTGAGATAGAAGGGTGAATAATAATTTGATAGTAATACTATAGTACCAGGAGCTACCTTTGTTGGGTACTTTCAATGTGTTGGGCACTTGGCTGAATATCTGAAATTTTGTCAATCTTTATTAACTTTATCTTACTGGTGTAGTACCAGTTTTCTAGCACAATGGCAGTCATCTAACAAGTGTTTGTTAACATCTGTTAGTGAATTATTTAATGAATTCTCCTTAAAGAACCAAAAATGTATAAAGCAAATTTTTAACTCTATTATGATAAATGACGAAACTATGATATCCCAAGGCAGTGTGAAAAATAAATCAGAGAAAGATGAGAGGAAAGGAGTAAAGGATGTACTTAATTAAATGGACAAATGCTAAAATTTTATAGGTCACAATGATAGCCAGCTGTAAGGAATTTCTAGATGTACAGTTAAGGACAAATGAAAAGAAAACACTGAATACTTTGAATAAAGATCCAAATCGGATAACTATCAGGTACAGAAATTAAATATATTTTGAATAATTTTTAAAATATTTCATTTAGTTTAAATAATAATAAAACTTTGCCTTATGCTTTTATTTACAGATTTCCAATGGAAGGAAGAATTAAAACAAGAGAAATGAAAGTAAACTGGTAAAGATAATTCTTAAATATCTTAAATACTATTTGTTCGTGATTAATTTTTGAAGGTTTTTATAACATTTAAAATTTTGTTTCCTTAACACAAAAGAACATATTTACATAAAAATATGGAGTCAGAATGCAAATGTGAAATTAATTTCCAGGATATCTCACACTTTAATTAAATTGATGATTTCAATTTTTCTTTATCAACTAACATTTATTGAGAATGTTCTCTTGAAACAAACTAGATAGCTTAAAAAAACATGCTTTCCATTAGGAGCTTTACATTTAACTTGAGTGAGAAACATGCATATATAAATAATGGGCAGTGTGAACACATCTACTATCTATTGAATGATAGTGGCATTTTGGGAAGGACAAAGAGTAAAAGCTAAAATGTAAGTGAAGGAATGAATACATGACAATGGGATGACTCTTCTGCCAAGAATGGGATGTTTGTACAGAGGAGTAATAATTGGAAGAGTAAATTCAGGTCACACTGCAACTTGTAGTGACCATTTTATAAATGCTATGATACTCTTTTATGCTAAACCAAGTACTTAATGTTGTCAGAACTTACATCTTGGTGTTAAACCTCTTATAGATGATGTGATTTTAGGTGAAAGTGACTTTTTTAACATGGCTAAACAAAACTAGCCAAAAAATTTCTTTTTCCTCCTTGACTAGAAGAGAGCATTCTTTCTCTGGGAGACTTCCTAACATTTCATTGAATTTTATCTCACAAATAACTTGTTGTTCATAACAATATATAACAATACAAACTGCTGTTTATAACTCATCTGGCTGATATATATAGCCTGATCAACAGAAGTTAGTGTTTCATAGCTACATAATTAAGAAATTCAGATATCCTTAGAAATCTTTCGTGTCACAAGTGAAGTAAGTGATGCCCAGATACGTGGTTACTTACCCAAGGTTATGTTGCTATTCTTAACTGGGGAACTGAACTAGAACTAGAAACTAAATCTCTTAATTCTCTCAATGTTTTTTCCAGTGTGCTTTTTTTGCATCAGTTGTTATTCAAATTACATGAAGATTCTTTTCCACAAACATCTTGGGAACACTCTATTAGAAATTTTAGACTTTCCATTAGCCTTGCCTTAAATTGGGTCATACATCATTTTGATTGAGCATGTCAGATTTTAAAATTGATGACTTTATAATTTTTTATTTATAGTAGATTTTATTTCCCATTTCCCATTTCCCACCGTTGTGCATCTATTTGAGGACAGCCAGGAAGAGATAATAAATTTTTTAAAGAAATAATGAAATTTCTTCTTTCCTCCAGTCTTATTCAGGCTCAGCTAGGATGCATCCCTATACAAGACTTTGCTTTGACACAAGATACCTCTAAGATTTTCAGAAGCGGCTCACGAATTACAAGATGTATGTTACAGTGGTTAATGGATTTCCAGTCTTTTTCCAGAAAAGTAGTATACTACTTAATATTGGAAACTTTTTTTTCAGGGTTATCAGATTTTGTGGCTCCTCAAGAAAAGAAGTTTGCTGTATTACTGAATAGTTTGATTTTAGCTAAATGTTTTAGATGCAGACTTTGGGAAAACTCTTTGCATGTATCCAAACAGCTGGAAAAAATTGGTAAGTACTAAATACAGACAGGCAGTTTGTCAGGGTCTTCAGTTTGTTTTGTATTTAACTATTAGGAAAATTATTCTTTGATAGGTATAGACCTTTTAGCAAAACAAACAAAAAACATGTTTTTAGGCCTAAAAAATTACTGTCCTCTGGAAATCTGATTTTTATTTTTTTCCTGCTTAAATGATTCTATTTGAAATCAGTTGGGAAACTTAAAAAAATTAATGCTCTATTTTTTTAATTTGTTCTCAGACCATGAGTGAAGTTTTATTTTAGTAATTAGGGAACTGAATGATGATGTTTTGATCTTGATGAGAAGTTATAGAGGTCATAATACTGCCCATTCCTGATTCATTACAGAAAATTATGTCACCTGTTTATATCTTCTCTCTGTCTGTCTCTCTCTTTTCACTAACAGTAGAATATTATAATCATAAAGATTATGCAGATAAATGATTGTATCTGATTTTACCTGTCTGTTGGTATCTAGCTCAGGATGTGAACTGGAAAACTCTAGAGGGTGCTATTACAAAAACTGGTTATGACTGAAACTCTGGAGTTTTCCAGTTTGGCACTTTTGGCTTTGTAACCCTGCTCCTTCTTAGATAGTTAGAATTCCAAAAAGAGGATTGTTATCCCATAACTGACAGCCTTGCTAGTTTTACAATTTTGTATGTGTGTTAGAGGCTTTAAAAAATTATGTAATGGGAATTTAGGGCTTGTCTCATTACTCCTTAGAACAAAGATATCCTGTTTGTTGAGGGCATCATACATTTTATTTCCTTGAACTTTAAGTCACTGTGGTGGCAGAGAGCTAATTAATCTTGCGAGCATGGTGAAGGTGAAAGTAAGATCAAAGTAGAGGAGAGATTCCTGGTTGAAAGGCTCAACTTCCTGCAGAAGTCCTTGCAAACCAATGCCATCCTGAAAGACAAGAGTGTTATATTTGGAAGGAGTTTCCATACAAAACTTAGAAAATAGCAACTTACAGATTTTAAATTACATTAAATATTTTCCCAAAAAAGTTCCATTATACTTAAAAATAGTTTTTCTGACTTTCTGGAATTTTGTTAGTCTGACATCAGTTTTGTTCTATTCCTTTCAAATTGTAGAACACATTTATTAAGTACAACTGACCAGAAAGAAGAAAATATTGCCCAGCAAAATCCATATAATAGAAAAGTAAGAGAATCTAAACAAAAAAGTAAATCTAAGTTCTTATCAAACATCAGAAAAAACATGGTGAATACAAATGATTTTTTTTTATTTTTTAAAGATTTATTTATTTATGCATACAAGAACTTGGGTACAGGCCAGAGGTGTGGAGGGTGAGAGAGTTCACCAGAGACAGAGTGTAGAACAGAACAGGCAGACTAATTGAAATACACTGCTGAGGGAAGCAGCGGGTGAGTCAGGAGAGGTCTCCTGCGCCATGTGGGTAGCTCCCTGGCCGGGGATTGAACTCAAGCTGCAGTGGCTGCAGATAGCTTCATAGGTTGTGTCTTAATCCCTTGCGCCACCAGGGAGGCCCCACAAATGAATTTTCAACGGTGTTTATAGACTATTAAATCAGGAAAAAATTTGAGGGAAAATGGAAATGAACATTAAGGAATTATGAATACTAAACGTTTTGTCTTAAGAATGAGTAAGAGAAATTCCCAAGAATGCTAAAAGAATAAAGATATGAGTAAGGACATAGGAGTGTCACACCCTTACAAGTAATATATGTGCCTAGATAAGGTGGTAGTATTTCAAAGCTTTGTACTTCTACCAGTATCTTCTATTTTGGGATTTGTATAAATTCATGCATTCATTAAAGTTTAAGAATTTTAAACTCTAGTTTCTTAAAGCATAAAGAAATAGGAAAAGTTCAAAGATTAAAGTGAACTTGATATAATTAAGGAACAAAATCAAAGGCAATGTGACTAGATAGTACTCAGCAAGAGGAGAATGGTAAAGACTTTAGATGAAAGAGAGCCTGTGCTCAAGTTGTTGAGGTAAAGTAGTATAAACACAGTAAGGAAGTTGCCACTTTTTCTAAATGTAATGAAAAGGCACTGGAAATTTTGGGCAGAAAAACAAAATATTCTGATGTATAACCATAAAGATAACTCTACCTGTAAAATAGTAATATTTAGAGAGGCATAACTTCATGAAGCAATATATGCATTCCCGAATCACATTACCTTTTTTTTCAAAGATGAGTGAAACAGTAGGTGTCTCTTTGTACTGGCCCTATGGATGAGATATGGTAAAGTTAGCATTGAGTCATCATGTGAACCAATGATGTTCCTCCATTTTTTATAAAGCAAATGAATATTTTATTTTGGTTTTAAAAAATAAATGAAGCAATTGAATAATATCAATCCAAATAATACAACGAAAACTTCTATTTAATTTTGTGTAGAAAAACCGGGGGGTAGGCCAGAATTTGAGTGGGGGGTGGAGAGGATTCACCAGAAACAGAGTGGGAAGCAGAACAGGCAAATTTACTGAAATACACTAAAGCGAGCAGCAGGGCTAGACAGGACAGATCTGCTGCCCAAGGGGTTAGCTCCCTGGGGTGGGATTGGGGGAATCTAACTCAGGCTGCAGCCTTGATCCTTTTAACCCCTAAGCCACCACAAAGACCCACTACAACTTAAAACTTCTAAAAATACTACTAATAAAAACCTTTAAAAATTGTCTTTAATTTTTTCCCAGTTCTTCAATATTTAAGAATAGATTAAGATATATTTTTTAAAAACTGCTATTTGATTACTTCTCCACAGGTATAACATTGTCAAATGCAATGGTAAATGCAGGTTTGACTTCCTTTAAAAAAATAGAAGAAACAGATGCAAGGGAACTTGAACTGGTATTTAATATTCATATATTCTTAATGTTACCTGAATTCTATCTGAATTCTAAACCCTAACACTTTGTATCTTTATTTCTACTAAAAAAATAATTTTTCTTCTCCAAGTCTAAGTATTTTAACTTAGTAAGCTTTTGGGTAGCAGACATTATTAAATTATTGACTCTAAAAATTATTTTGCTAAAACTGTGGGTGGCTTGAGGTGGGTGGCAGATAATGGTGTAGTAGCATACACCTGACAGTGTGATCCTATGTTTACAAATCATGTACAGTGTTGCAAACCAATGTTACCTTAATTTAAAAATGTATAAATAATCTTACTGTGGTAAGAATATAATGATATAAAAATTTTTAGATTTTAAATAGACATCCACCTTTTGGAACTCAGATAAAGGAAACTGTGATGTATCTACCAAAATATGAACTTGAAGTGGAACAGGTATGTATTTTCTGATTTTTAGACATTTTGAATGCCTTTTCAGTAACGAAATTATCCATGTCTGACTTGAAACTGAACATGAATAGTTGTTTTTTAAAACTTTTTATACCTATCTTTTTTTAAAGATTGCAAGATACAGTGATACCATGGCAGAAATAGTAGTGACTATTATATTAAGAAACTTTGAACAACTGCAAACTAAAAGAACAGCTCCAGATTCTCACTATGTTACCTTAATCATAGGTGATACAGATAACCAACTGGTTTTTAAGCACAAAATTATGTAAGTATAAAATATCTGATATTTGAATTCATGTGTAAGTATATACTATAAAGAGAAAAATTCCACTGGGAAAAAGAGAGATAAAATGACTGTGGAATACATTGTTACTTTTTCCTCCCTCTATAATGGGGTAGTTTCTCTGTCTTATTAGCATTGGATCTTTTGGGTTGGGTTGTTATGTTTAGTACTCAATACAACAAAGTGTACAGTCTATCACTATGATCTGAAATAAGTGAACAGATAACTTTTAGGTGTAGCTGTGGTCCACTGTTGCTGAACTTTCTTATTGTGTTGATTTTGCCCAGTCATTTGTGACTTACTACTTTTCGAGTGCAACCTTCCTCCTACTCCAAAATACAGTTTTTATTTACAAATTAAAATTTAGTAAACTTCCATAACACCATTGTGGGGTCTTGGCAAACATATCCAGTATATAAAAGAGGTACCTTCCCTTATACCTAGTAATTCCCTTATACCAAGACTGTCTAATGACAGCTTTGACTATATGAGATTAAAATAAGTTCAGCACAAAATTGGTTGCTGTTCTGTTGATGATGTTGTTAGATACAATTTGTTTCATATCAATTTAAAAGATAATATTGAAGTTGTTACAAATACATGTAACTCATGGTTAGTGAATTTTTTTTTAAAGATTTATTTATTTATGCATAAAAGAGCTGGGGTACAGGCAAGAGATGCAGGAGGTGGGAGGGTGTGAGAGGACTCACCAGAGACAGAGTGGGGAACAGAGCAGGCCGAATGACTGAAATACACTGCTGAGGGGAACAGCAGGCGATACACGAGAGGTCAGTGCAATTTGGAATCAGTTGTTAGGTCATGTAATTAGGAAAGTTATAGCTAAAGTAACTCCATTAACATGCCATTTCTCCCACCTCAAAATTTGGGAAAAGTAACTCACTTCAGTTTACTACCAGAGTGGGCCTAGAATCAATAGGCCCCTGAAGAGTAAGTATAGTATTTCATTTAGCATTTGGATCACTATTTCAATAATGCATTACTGTTTTTCAGGGATTCTGTTTTGCTAAAAGCTGGAAACTGGGCTAAAAAGATTGATGTGAAGAGAGCTCTTAAATCTGAAGATCTTAGCATAAATCTAATTAGTTCTGAATATGGTAAGTTAATTGAAGTAATAAAGACATGAGTGTAAAGAGTATGATAGCATTTTAAAGATATTTCCTTTGTGCTGAACCAGAAAAACAGTATAAAATGTAAAAAAATTATTCTGTTTAATGTGAATAATTTTAAAGGCAGTTTCATGTATTTAGAAATATAAAAGATAGTATGGGCTGGGACAACAAATTAAAATTTTATTTGTTCATTTATAGATATTTTCCAACATAGTTAAATTTCAATTATTGTAGGAATATTTTTATTTTTGTGATAATAGAATAAATAATTCTTACTTTTAAACTTTTTTTATATCTTAATTTCCTAGACTTGGTAGCTATAAAATTATAAGAGATATAAAAACAAATAAATGGTCTCAAGTATAGGTTTGAATGATTTAAGTAAGCAATTGCATACTTTTTTTCCCTTTTTCCAGTTGGACTTGATATTCAGCAAAAATTTACAGTTTATTACTTAGGACCCAAAAGGTTTGGAAATCAAATAATTGTGCAAAAAAAAGCAGCAGCAGTGATTTCCTGCTCTAAAGATTCAGATAGGTTTAATACAGCAGGCTCCAATAAAGGTAAATAGCTATATTTATTCCTATTTTGCATTAAACTAAAGATCTGTCTAGGATCACTGTTATCGTACCGCTTCACTCAGATTGTATATAATCTGGAATTAGATATTTAGTTTTTATAATAATTGCATTAATTCTCTCATAGTAAATATTTGGGGTATTACTTGGAAACCAAATTATTTGATTAGCTTGTCGATGTTCATTTTTGTTTTATCATACTCATTCTATTTTTATGGTCATTGTCAGTGGGAGAGTAAGTAATATACATGCAGATTTGATGTGACAAATCAGGTGACAACAAACTTAAAAAATTGTTTTATTATAGGAATTTGGAAGCATACAAAAAAGTAGAAACAAGTATGATGAACCCTTATGTACCCATCACTTGCCTTAAGCAATTATCCATTCATGGTTAATAGAGTTTCACCTATGCTTTTCTGAAAATCAGATGTCATATTATTTCCTCTGTAAATGTTTCACTAAATATATGTAAATGGTAAGCACTTAAGAAAAAGCATAACTATATTACATAAAACCAATAACTAATAACTAAATCATCCAACATTTAGTCAATATCCAAATTATCTCATAAATTTTATTGATACTCATAAATTTTTTATTGATATCTCATAAATTTTATTGATACTTCATCTTCATACCATCTAGATATATCAAATTGGTTCTGGAATCCTTTTGATATGTCTTAGTAGTTTTGACAGTTCCTTGCAGTGTGAGATAATATGATAGTCTAGGCTTACCTTGTATGTTTTTAGCCCAGGTGTAATAAGTCCTTCCTTCAAGATTCCTTGGTTTCTTTTAAACATAAATAGTTTTCTAAGATTACAATCTGTTTGCTGGAGGAGCACATTAATATTAAGTAATTGTGTGTGTGTGTGTGTATATATATATATATATATATATATTAGAATTTTTCTTATAGAATTAGAAGATACATGATTTCTTGTTTTAAAAAATAAAATGCGGCAACATGGCAGCGAGGAGACGCTGCGAGTAAGATCTCCCATTAAAAAAAGTGAATAGGGAGGAAAAGCGGCAGGTCCCAGTGAGAACTGGGACACGGAAGATAAACGGGTGACGCCAGCGAACTGCCCGAAGAAGAAACTGGCCATAAAAGAGGACTAGAAGGGAGGGAAGCGCAGAACCCTGCTCCCCTCCCCCGCCCACCGGGGGAGGAAACAACAGAGAGGAGAGAGGCAGAGAGGAGGAAACAACAAACCAAAACGGCCCACAAGAACAAACGACGCAGCAAGCGGGACTGTGAGTGGAAAGGAACTATTGCAGCCACCACACCCCGTGAACGGGAGCTGAGGCGAACCCTGCAGGATTCGCCGCGCCAGCGAGCGAACGGCTCCGGGCGCCATTAGAGAAGAACAAAGACCCCGGGAGACGCGCACACAGCCCGGGCTGCCGGTAAGCTGGCGCGGGAAAGCGGCTCGCTCGGCGCTTGAAAAGCAAGTGCAGACCTGGATCGCGGCTGCCCAGGTCCCCGCGCCTGCGACCTAGGCTTGCGGGGAGACGACCTAGGCTTGCGGGGAGATGCACGGAGGTCCTCACTGAGGTGAAGGTCCCTCCCTGAGTGAGCAGGAACCAGGCGCCCAGGTACGGGAGCGGTGCAAAAGGCGCCATTCCCGCGCCACTGAACTGGGCTACAGCCCGCGTCCTGGAACTGAGGGCTTTGAACTGAGACCCGGGGCACGAAAATTCGGGGCGTGGTTTCTCCACGACGGTGGGGCACAAGGCAGACACAGCACCCCAAAGCTGTTGAGGTGTACCCTACCATTCCCGCTCTGTTCTCTGTCCCACGGGGTGGGGGGAGGCGAAAAACAGCCCCCCAAGGACAATAGGAGAGATCTCTGGCGCCACCTAGCGACCAGGAAAAAAAAAAGTCACTAACACCCTATAAAACAGGACATTTCTTAAGACTGCTTGAAAAGGGCAGGTTTCTGGAGGACCCAGTGGCCAGCCGGGAAGTTATTCCACGCCAGGCCCCTTCCGACCAGCAGTCTGAGCCCACAGAGGGAGCAGGCACCCACGTCCGGGGCAGACCGGGTGCGCAGAAGAGTGTGCCTGAAACCGGAGGCGCAGGGACTGCATCCCGCTTCGCCATTTGAGAACAGGGATATTTCTTCAGTAAAAACTGCCTAAAACCAGCAGAAAGCTCCCCCAGAAGACAGAGATGGCTCCTGGAAGAGCCAGAGGGGAGCGGAGAAGTTCACCCAAGATGTCAGTCAGTCCGAGCAACACAGTGTCCCAACGCATACGACAAATTAGAAAACAGACAGTAGGGAGTAGAAGAACCACACGCAACCTAAAAACTCCTCAGGAAAGAAGCACACCACAAAAAGAAAACCACTCCCCAGATTGCAACGACAGCAACTTGGAAGAACTTCTGAGCCTTCCAGAAAGAGAATTTAAAATTGCCATGATTAAAAAAGTGATAGATCAGAAGAAGGAAATTGAGTCCCTAAAGAGGGAAGTAAGAGAAATGCAGGAGATCAAAGAATTAATGGAGGAACTAAAGAACTCTGGGAAAAGCAATGAAAGCAGAATAGATGAAATGGAAGAACGAATAAGTAATCTTGAAGACACAGAAATAAAAAGACCCAAAACAGAAAAGGAAAGAGAAGTACGAAGGAAAAAGAATGAAGAAAGACTTCGGGAACTATCTGACTCCATGAGGAAAGGAAATATAAGAGTTATAGGAATTCCAGAAGGAGAGGAGAGAGATGTAGGAACAGAGAAAATATTTATGGATATAATTGAAGAGAACTTCCCAAATGAGAAGAAGGAGCTGAAAATTGATATACAAGAAGCAAGAAGAACACCAAACTTCCACGACGAAAGGAAAAACACAGCAAGACACATAATAGTAAAGCTCCCAAGAATCCAGGACAAGGAAAAAATAATGAAGCTGACAAGAGGGAAGAAACAGATAACATTCAAAGGAAAACCAATCAGGCTGACATCAGACTTCTCTGAAGAAACACTACGGGCAAGGAGAGAGTGGAGGGACATAGTCAACAGACTCCAAGAAAACAGATGCCAACCAAGAATACTCTATCCCGCAAAGCTCTCTTTCCTCCATGAAGAAAGAATATGGACCTTCCCAGACAAAGAGAAACTCCGGAATTTCATTGCGACTAAACCCCCACTCCAAAAAATACTACAAGGAATCCTAAAGCCAGAACCTCAGAGGGACGAATAACAACGAAAGAAGACCAAAAAAAAAAAAAAAGTTATTAAAAGAATAAATAAATAAAATCAAAGGAAAGACAAACATAATGGCAAATACAGATGCTAACATATCAATATTAACTCTAAATGTAAATGGACTAAACTCTTCAATAAAAAGACACAGAGTTGCAGCCTGGATTAAGAAACAAAACCCAACCTTTTGCTGTCTCCAGGAAACACATTTAGCTACAAAAGATAAAAATAGGCTCAAAGTCAAAGGATGGAAAACAATCCTACAAGCAAATGGGCCAAAAAAGAAAGCAGGAACAGCTATACTTATATCAGATAAAACAGACTTCAAACTCAAAAAAATAAAAAGAGACCCCAATGGTCACTACATTATGATTAAGGGGACAATACTTCAAGAAGAAATAACACTCATTAACATATACTCACCAAACGAAAGAGCACCAAAATATATCAGACAACTGTTGTCCTCTCTGAAAACAGACATCAGAGAAAACACATATGTAGTGGGAGACTTCAACACACCACTATCAACAATGGATAGATCAACAAGACAAAAAATAAGTAAAGAAACTAAAGCTCTAAATAAGGACCTAGAGCATTTGGGCTTAACAGACATCTATAGAACACTAAACCCAAAAAAAACGGAGTACACATTTTTCTCAAGCGCACACGGATCATTCTCCAGGATCGATCACATACTGGGGCACAAGACAAACATCAACAGATACACCAAGATTGAAATCATACCAACCATCTTTTCTGACCACGAAGGCATCAAACTAGAAATAAATCATAAAAAGAAGGCAAGGAACTATCCTACCTCATGGAGATTAAAAGCCACATTACTGGAAGACCACTGGACTAACGAGGAGATCAAAGAAGAAATTAAAAAATTCTTTGAATTGAATGACAAGGAGGACACCAATATCCTAAATGTATGGGATGCAGCAAAAGCAGTAATAAGAGGAAAATATATAGCAATAGAAGCTCACATCAAAAAACAAGAAAGAACTCAAAGAAACAACCTAATCTCGAAGCTCAAAGATCTAGAAAAAGAACAACAAAAAAACCCCAGAACCAGTAGAAGAAAAGAAATAATAAAAACCAAAGCAGAAATAAATGAAATTGAAACTAAAAAAACAATCCAAAAGATCAATGAAACCAAGAGCTGGTTCTTTGAAAAAATAAATAAAATAGACAAACCCCTAGCCAGGCTCACAAAGGAAAAAAGGGAGAAAGCACAAATACACAGAATCATAAATGAAAGAGGAGAAATCACAACGGACACAGCAGAAATCAAAAGAATAATCAGTAACTACTATGAACAGTTATATGGAAACAAGTTCAACAATCTAGAGGAGATGGACAAATTCCTACAACTCTACAATCACCCAAAGCTAGATAAAGAAGAAATAGAACACCTAAACAGACCAATTACAAGCAGCGAAATTGAAATGGTAATTAAAAACCTCCCCAAAAACAAAAGCCCAGGACCTGATGGATTTACAAATGAATTCTACCAAACATTCAGAGACGAATTAGTGCCTATCCTTCACAAACTCTTCCAAAAAATTGAGAAGGAAGGGACAATACCAAACACGTTCTATGAAGCCAATATTACACTAATACCAAAACCGAATAAGGACAACACAAAAAAGGAAAACTATAGGCCAATCTCCCTAATGAACACTGATGCAAAAATCCTCAATAAAATTTTAGCTATCAGAATCCAACAATGTATCCATAAGATAATTCACCACGACCAAGTTGGATTCATT